CGCGTTCCGCAGCGCCACCGCCGGGATACTGACGCTGGCGCGAAATTGAAATCTTAAATTCTTTGAGTTGCTCTTTCTATTGGGGTCACTCTCTTCATCCTGTCTCGTTTACTTTCCTTGTAATGCTCCACACAAATAGGTGAGCTTTCATGTGGACACCCTGTACAGTATAGTTGATGCTTGAGTATTGCTCCAAGTCAACTCTTCTCTGCTTGCACCTTCTCCATAAAGTTTTTTGTTTCATTTAAAGCACTTATGGTTTTTTTTCTTTGAAAAAAATTTATGGAGAAGTGAAACATATGGTTCACCTTGCATATTCATAGATTTTCTAAAGTAACTTGTATTTTTGTGGTGACACCCCTTCAATTAAGATGCAATTAGATTAATGCTCTTCTGTTATATTGATTTTTTATCATGTTGTCTTTTGCCATCTTCTTCAGGGTTTTAAGTTGGCCTGTGTTCTGTATTGCTTTTTTTTTTAATATTCCAATGGAGTTGAATTTTTGTTATTGACTTAGGGTAAAGAGAAATAGGAGGCTCTTTTGTCTTTCTTATTCCTACTGATGATTTTTGTGTGCCAGCTGGAAGAGAGACAAAGCTCAAGTTTGATCGAGTTCTTTGTGACGTTCCTTGCTCTGGAGATGGAACTCTTCGGAAAAATGCAGATGTGTGGCAGAAATGGAACATTTCCAATGGAAATAATCTTCATGGACTCCAAGTTAGTTACCATGTTGATTTTAGGCTGTCTGGTGCAACTCACCTTCCTGCAAAAGATGATCAATGCAGTTAGAAGGGTATCTTTGTGGGTCAGCTTGTAGAAAACTTAGAATAAGAACATATTGAAACCAGAATAATAATGAAAAATCTGTGAACTTTATCATCACACCATCACATCATTTTGCCAGGTTGGAGCTTTTTGATTTTTCAAGCCTTTTGTATGAGCAGGGATGGGAGGGAGAATTTTTAACCCACAGGCCCCCACAGAGTTGGGAGAAGGGGGACCTACTGAGTCTCTGGGATACCCCCCCAATTTGAGATGGTTGGGACCACCATTATACTAGGATGGGGTGCAACTGATGCTTCCCATTATGTTTGGAATGAAGGATTGGTTTTTGCTCAGCCTATAGCATATTTCTTACATATCCTTCACATCCTTCCATAGCGCCTACCCCACTCTGATTGCTGGAAAAGTAGTAGACCAGTTTTCCTTTCATTTATGGCTTCAGGAATGCATTCATTGCACAAATATATTTGAATATGCTACCATATAGGCATTTTCTTTGGTCTCAGATTTGCTAACCATATCAGATCAGATACCCTTTCAGAGTTCTATCCTTTTTTCAAGTTTTTCAAATGTGTATCATATCTGATACAGTGGGAAGGTAAGGCTTCAATAATAATAATATGAGGGGTGATAAAAAAATTTCCAGGACTGAATTTTCCTGACTACTGATGGGTATATCCATCAAAGTAGCCCTCTTCAGGATCTACACTAATTTTTTTAAGTTCCTTCAGCCGCTAGAATCATTGCTCACACTTGCCTTTTGGAATCACCAGCAGCGTCCATGGCGCGTTCGTAACGCTGCTTTAAGTATCCTGAAATTTCCTTCATTTTTCAGTTTCAGTGGTTTCTACCCTACATTTGTCCTACCTACCAATCCCCATGCATTATAAGCCATCCAATGCACTGGACTTAGCTCCTAGTAATTTCTTCTTGCTCCCTAAGCTGAAGAGTTTGCTGACTTAGGGAGAAATTAAGCATTCAAAGCAAAATTGTAAACACGACATGAGCACTGCTGGTGATTCCAAAAGATAAGTGTCAGCAATGTTTCCAGTGCCATCAAAAAAACCTGAAAATTTCTGTTGATGCTAAAGAGGACTAGTTTGAAGAATATAACCATCAGTAGTCAGAAAGAGTCACCACAGCGTTAAGAAAAATTCAGTACAATAAATTTTTTATCACCCCTGGTATGAATCTGGAACTCTGACTGAATATGCCTACCCTAATTGTTTTCAGCTTTTTATTATTCTTTCCTTACAATACGTGTGCTGTATTAAAAAAATGTTAGCAAAGCCTTTTGTGGGTTTCTTTTTTCAGTAGATCATTTTATGCTTCATGAATCACCATTTATCTATCAGTCAGTAAAAACCAAAAAGTTCCAGCCCTATTTATGAATTCCTTTCTGTAGGTGAGAATAGCCCGAAGAGGCCTTGAGATGCTTGCAGTTGGTGGCTGTCTGGTATACTCTACATGCTCTCTCAACCCTGTTGAAGATGAAGCTGTGATTCATCGCTTACTGGTAGAAAGCCAAGGAAAGGTTGAATTGGTAGAGGTCTCGGATAGGCTGCCTGGGCTTCGTTTCTGTCGGGGCGTGAAAACCTGGAAGGTGATGAACAAGAAACTGGTCTGCTTTTCCTCTCCAGAAGATGTTCCATTTGAACATCAATCACAAATTAGGCC